GTGTGTGTGTGTGTGTTTCAGTGGAGTGTGCAGGGAGGGTGAGAGGCTGGTGGTCGGTCCGACAGACGAGGGCCGCTTCCTGCGTCTGAAGGTGGGCAGCATCCAGAGGAACCGTTCGGCCTGCAGGGTGCTGAGGGCCGGGCAGGCCGCCACGCTGGCTCTGGGAAACTTTGACCGCTCGCTGCTGCGTAAGGTCAGAGGTCACACATCCTGAAGTCTGTATGTGTTGGAACTGTGTGTGTGTGTGTGTGTGTGTGTGTGTGTGTGTGCGGTTTTCTGAGCATTTTCTTACTTTTAAACTTAAAGTTTTGTTTCATCGATGGTAGAATTAGTCGCCAGGAGCATCGCTACTCGCCAGCCCGTCCTGAAGCACACACGTGCAGCTGATGTCAGTGTGTGATGGCGGTGCTCTCTGATTGGCCGTTGCAGGGTATGGTGATGGTCAGCCCCAAGATGAACCCGACCATCTGCTGCCAGTTTGAAGCCGCCATCGTCCTGCTCTTCCACGCTAAGACCTTCCGCCGGGGCTCGCAGGTCACCGTGCACGTGGGCAACGTCCGGCAGACGGCCACGGTGGAGTGTCTTCACGGGAAGGTCGGTCTGTAGATTAACGTAAAGCTTGTGGTCGCTGCGCCCTCTTGTGGCTGTTTGTGTGTAACTGCGACTCTGTGCTGCAGGAGGAGCTGCGCACGGGCGAGAGAGCCGTGGTCCGCTTCCGCTTCATCAAACACCCCGAGTACCTGCGGCTGGGCGCCAAGCTGCTCTTCAGAGAGGGCGTCACCAAAGGCATCGGCCACGTCGCCCGCCTGCTGCCTCCCTCCCAGAACCACGACCAGAACCAGAACCACGACCAGAACCTGCAGGAGCATTAAAGACCTCGGCTCCCTCCGTCATCCTCCGTCACAGCGTCGACAGATGTTGATCTCTGTGAGAACTGACCGACCGGTCGCCACGTGTCGGCGTGTTCCTCCTCCTGTCCTGGATGTATAGTTCTGACCCCATTGGCCCCCCCGCTGTGATGTCAGAGAATCCATCATCATCATCTTCTTCCTCCCAGCAGACGTTCGGGTCTTGAGTTAAAGCTGGCTGACCTCAGTGGATTTAAGCCTCAGTGGACGGTTAATCTGATGTTGTGCCACAGTTGGATTGAAGAGGATCTGTTTCGTCAGTGAGACGACAGCGGGATTATTATTTGGGGTGATTTGAGGAACGCAGTGCGATTCTTCAGACGGGGGAGAGGAGGAAGGATTGACCTCTGCATCCCTCCCAAACACGCCATCTCTACACGCTCAGACTTTGAAGAGGGGGATTATTTCCAGAAGAGCTCGTCAAACATTCAGGAACGTGATGATGGTTTTTTCTGCATGTTTTCAGCGCATAAACTTGAAAAGGTGAATGTTTTGTGTCGCTGCGGAGCGGTTTGCGTGGAGTGCAGTGGCTGTCGAGCACTGAGGGGTTGTAGAAGCTACCGGCACACGGCTAGCTGGCATTGTTAGCTCAGCAGCTATCCCTGCGTGTACTCACTGTGTATGTACGTATGTCCTATAAACATGTGGATGAGCTGCTGTGCACTGTTCTGATCACATATTACTAACACGTGTGTGGGATTGATTAATTGATTAATAATCTGCGTGCACAAGTTAAAAAATGACTCGACGCCTCCGGAGCTCCGCACACATCAAGAGTTTAGACTGTTGGAAGGATTATTAAATCAATATTATTGATTTTATTTTCATTGCTCAGTCCATTGTTCTCTCTTCTTTTGCACTTTATTCACTTTTCATTATAATGATGAATCCCTACAGACGAGGGACGCACCGGTACAACTACTCAGATACCGCTTATGGCAGCGTGAATAACACAGAATAACAAAACCTGCAGTTCCTCTAACGTCCACTAGGGGCCGGCTCCAGCAGTGACTCGGTCTCAGTAAGGACCCATTTTTTCTATATAATGACGACGATTGTTGATCTGCAGTGACACAACATAACTGTGGACCAGTATTCTTATTTTATGCTATTAAATTGGCAAAAACCTCAGAATTTACATTTACCCACAGTCAAACTAGAGGCTCTGCTTTCACCCCAAAAGTGGGCGGGGTCATGACGAAGTACCCGGATGTGCTGCTCTCATCTATAGATTATTATATATACTATATTGGAGTATTTTAAAGCAGCTTTTACAACATTTAATTTGTTACAGTCAGAAAATGAGGAACATCTGATGTAAATACAGTCGTTGTTAAACTGTGACGTTATTATTAAGCACTCATCGGCAAAGTACACACGGTGTGTAAACCGTGGCATCGGTGCGTCCCTGGTGTCCATTCAGCAGTCAGAGTCAGTTTTTTTTGTTCGTGGGTTGACGTATTGATGAAATGTTGGAGGAGGCTTCAGCGCTGAAGATGCGTCATGTTTTTGAATTCTGGTTGTTTTTACACTTCACAGCCTCACATTCAGTCTGTGGGGATTCATCCGCTCTCTACTCGCCCTGTTGAACTTCGTACATTCAGTATCTGCATTTACAGACCAAATCTTTGCATCCTGAGTTCCAGTTTGTTCCGACTGTTTAGTGACGATATGAAACGTTTGATGTATCGGGCAGCTTATTGCAGCTAAACATAACCTGCATGCTCTTTGACTGGCAGAAAAAAAACAACTAATCCTCTCATTGAAAATATAAAATATGTATCCCGTGTTGAAACTGTTTTAAATTTTTTTGAGGTTCTGTGCAATCGTAAACCTAAATATCGAATGTACTTTCCATGGATCCTGTGTAGCATTTGAAATTGCTTCTTGTTGACTTTGCACTTTGTATTCTGCAGAACGTTGAAGACGTGTGAGACGTTTAAACATTAAACAGTGAATTCATCAGTTTGTTTTTCCCGACCGTCCCTCGAGCTAATAAAAACTGTTGACAAATGACTGAAATATGTTTCTTTATTTTCATTTATTACTGTGGAACTTTGAGGGAAGAAGAAGATGTAACTTTTATATCTGTACCACCTCTGGGGCTGCATGGTCTGGGTGAATTCTTCAATCTTTGGGGTTGATTTGAGATTTAACAGGCTTTTATTTTGGACAATCGTAGTAAAAGTCCCGATCCAGGATCCAGAATCGACCTTTTCCCTGTACGATTGATCTGCTGATGGATGAACTGAAGGAAGAATGACACAAACTAACCAAACAGGAAGTCTTGTAAATAAAATTTAATAATAATAATTAAAAAAAACGTAGTCTTTGATAACAAGTGCTTTTCTTTGAGCTCCTGTATGCGTCCAGACAACATTAATGACACAAATATCAAACGAACGTTAACAAATGGCAGCCTGTCCACACTGGGCCAAGTCAGTCTGAGGCCTTTAGCTGGATGAGATCAAATCTGCAAACGTGTCCAACAAAAACTGATTACAGTTTGTTAAAAGATAAATAACGCCAAAAAAACTACCTGTGGAAATCATCTGTACTACAGAGCGCCTGGAGAAAGGAGACTTGTCGGGGCTTCGTACGTCACTAAAGTACTGTACATAAAAAAATGACTGTTAGAACTGTAAGATCCAAATTTGGTATTTGGTTTTGGTAACCCCCTAAATGTGTTTTGTTATAATGTCAGTATTTGGTGAAACTAGTGGACAGATTTATGTGTTTTGAAGTAGGATGGGGTCGGATTTTCAGCTAGCTGGCTGTGGGTCTAGCGTTGGTTGCTTCGTGGTGTTGGCTGATGGCTGATTTGTAAACAGCGACTTAGTTAGTAGCATGAGCTAACGGTCCAAATAAATATAGGACATTGCAGATAGTAACGTTATTCTAAATATGATTGTCAGTTATTTACAGCGTTCAGTGTTTTGTCGCTGTTGGCCACGCCAGGATGATGCAACAGGACGCTGACTGCAGTTCACTGAACGGCCACTGGTGGCGCTGTTAACCAAACTTTAATTAAAGTTACATATTGAACCTTTAAATACCTCACGTCCACAGTTTGATTCCGCCTCTTTCTCTCCCCACATTTCCTGTCTTTATGTCAGCTGTCAATACTCACTAAAATAAAACAAAATCTTGAAAAAGAATTACAAGATGAACCCAAAATAAGTTGAACATTTAGTTTTTGAGTCTCCCAGGTGCCTCAGGGCGGCTCTGTTGGAAAAAAAAGGAAAAAGTCAAATATCTGCTGATACATTTGGGTAAAGTGATAAACTGTACCACAGGATTCAGATGAACTCCTGTTTCTCCGGCAGTTCATCGAGACATTCTTTGTGCTGAGGTTGAAAAACCAAACAGGTCCAATGGCAGTTCAGAAAACATCTGTCTCCCATTTTGTGATATTTAGAGTCCAGAGGTTTATTCGCCCGCTGCTCCTCCTCCTCATAATGCTTTTGGTCTTTTGAAGGATTTGTCAGCCGTCGGTTAAGCCAGGCTCCTCTGCCGCGGCTTGATCCTCAGATACAGCTGGGAAATAAAAGGGAACAGAGGTTCTCATTAAATCACCAGTGAGATAAGATTTAAATACTGAACCTTCTTATATAAGACTGTTGAGTAACAGGATCCTCGGAGCCGCTTTTAAACCTGATGATGATTTAAAACTGATGAGATTCAATGAGAACTACAAGAAACAGCTGGGGGACACCGGCGGGGTCGACGGTTCTATTCCCTGTAGAACTCAATGAATGGATCAAATTGTTTCCTAGAAAGAAAACTTCGTATAATTTTCTCTCCAAAACTATTAAAAACCGGTACAAACACTAAATAAAGGAGTTCCACCTTAAAAATCACTGTTTATCCGACAATGTTAGCTCTGCTTGTTAATGAAATCCTTCATCCGGTAATATATAATAAAAATATAAAATCAATAAATATACAGTTATTTGTTCATGCATTATAATGCGGAAATGTTACATATTTTACCTTTAATTGGTAGTGTAACCTTTTACCAATATATACAATTCAAAATATTTGGAGAATAAAGTTTCAAACAAAAGGAAAAAAATCATATTATTAAGATTTTAAGATTTAATAGATCTCAGTCATTACAATTCCAGCAGTTCTTTCATGGAAATTTCTCTTTTCATGCGACTGTGTAATGAAACAATAAACATCCTAGTAAATTAGTGAAAAATCCCCAAATTATATAAATTATTTGCTAAAATTCACTTTTTATAAACTTTGCTCTGTTATGTTACTCCGCATGCGCAGCGGTAGTTTGTGGTTTTGTTAATTTCATTTATTATTTCATTTTGGTTCAGTTTTCGTTTTTTCCTACCGATTTCTATGTAGACGTCCATAATATTTTTTGCTTTTGTAACAGAGTCTGGTTATTTGTTTATTTATCGAGACTTTAACATATTTTGGGGGCTCGTCCAGGATTTTTATCCACCATAAAGGCCCGGTCACATTCTGGTTCTAGAAGCTTGGTGACATAGTGACTACTCATAGGGCTAGTTAGTGAAAAAACGTGGTTTACAAGCTAACTGCTAACACACTAGTCAGCAGGAAAGATGCTAGTGCTGGTCAGTTAACAGTGCTCCTAGCTTTATTTTCTTTGTACTTAAATCGAGACATTTCAGAGAAATCTGATCATTCAGAATCCAAATATCAACTACGACTTATTCAGTCTAAAATATAACAAACATCAGCAGTTCGAAGATAAACTTGGTATTGTCAGCTCACCCCCAGCAGGTTGCGGGGGATGTAGCCCTCGCTGTCACCACATCTCGCCCACCACCACTCCGACTCCACTTCATCCTCTCGTCTCAGCACCGTCATGCAGTCACCCTCACTGAAGCCGAGTTCGTCGTCGTTCTGAGGCTCGTAGTCCCACAAGGCGTACACCACGCCGCGGTTCATCACACCCATCTTCTCCTGAACGCCTGCAGGGACACATACAAAGTGTTACACCCATGAAACCTGCTTAAGGACCCTGAAACAGTCTGAGGGAACTTTTACTTCCTTAGGACGCCTTTTCGGTGTTTCTTAAAATAAAAATCCCAATTTCAATCCATGAATCTTCGTGGAAAAATCGAGATCACCACATCCTTTTTTCTATTGGAATAACTTGAGTGAATTCAGCTTTGGTGCCATTAAGTCTTCCTCATCCCATGAGGGTGGCAGATGAAACCTGGTAACACCAACACTTGGCTGGTTCTTAGAAGGTTCTCAAGTTGAACCAACTCTGAACCGGCACTAGCACCAGCCC